ATCAGTCAGCAGGAACGTTATCTCACTGATCCATACACGGGGCAAGGGACCACGTGGAGGATGACCACTCCTGGCGCCTTCTTGACTTTAAGCCTCGATGGTGTCACCTCTTTATCACATGTTGCTCTTTCATTTGTTTCAAGCAAACTTGAAGTCAGTGGGCTACTACTACCTCAGCAGCTCTTAGCCTGTGGCTCTCTCCACACCCAAGACTTGACTGGAGGGGGAGAGCCACCTACACCTGATGGTTTAGAGAGCTCAGCTGCTAATGAGGATGTCTTTGCCTGTCTGATTTAAATAGCAAAGCATTAGATTGTTTGCTTCTCAAGGAAAAAGTCTGTTCTCAACACCTCTGTGTCTTCAGAGGTACCCACTCCAGTGCTGGACAGCAGAGTCGCTGCTCAGATGCGTGGGTCAGCCTGGGCAGAATGCCCCCCTGGCCCTAGCTGGCTGGCCTGGCTTCTCTGCTCCCTGGGATGTCATTGCTTCTCCCAGCCTCTCCATGCTGAGGATTCGGTGGAGGAAAACTTCTGTTTGGTCTGATACCACTGGGGTGGGTTTGAGACTGTGCTCTCAGGAACAATTGCTGCACGTAACGGCGTGATGGATGGCAGTGGGGGTAGATTGGGCTTCCCAAAGCTGCGATGCCAAGGCTTCACCAGAGGAAACTTTTTTTTTCTCTCCTCCAATATCAGAAGGAGGGCAATGGGGGCAAGGCGGGGAGTGGGGTGGGTGGGGGGGAGGGTAGGTAATGTAATTTATACAGTATGGAAGCAGGAAAGTGCTCACACTTGGATGGAAGATACTTGCTGTTGGTTGGGTTCTGCCCCAGCCTGATCCAGGGAATCAGGAGCCCGGGCAGGGCCAGACTGCAACCCAGGCTCGGGGCGAGGGAGACCCTGAACCTGGTCTTAAGTAGCTACAAACACAGGAAATAAGGCTCTCCTTGGCAGGAATAAAGACTCAGACGTAGGGAATGGACTTGAGGACAAGGCCGGTGGGGGGGCAGGGAAGGGGAAGCTGGGACGAAATGAGAGAGTGGCATGGACATATATACACTACCAAACGTAAAATAGATAGCTAGTGGGAAGCAGCCGCATAGCACAGGGAGATCAGCTCGGTGCTTTGTGACCACCTAGAGGGGTGCGATAGGGAGGGTGGGAGGGAGACGCAAGAGGGAGGAGATATGGGGATATATGTATACGTATAGCTGATTCACTTTGTTATAAAGCAGAAACTAACACACCATTGTAAAGCAACTATACTCCAATGAAGATGTTAAAAAAAAAAAATGGGCAGAAGACCTAAATAGACATTTCTCCAAAGAAGACATACAGATGGCCAAGAGGCACATGAAAAGATGCTCAACATCACTAATTATTAGAGAAATGCAAACCAAAACTACAATGAGGTATCACCTCACACCAGTTAGAATGGGCATCATCAGAAAATCCACAAACAACAAATGCTGGAGAGGGTGTGGAGAAAAGGGAACCCTCTTGCACAGTTGGTGGGAATGTAAACTGATATAGCCACTATGGAGAACAGTATGGAGGGTGCTTAAAAATTAAAAATAGAATTACCATATGACCCAGCAATCCCACTACTGGGCATATACCCTGAGAAAACCATAATTCAAAAAGACACATGCACCCCAATGTTCATTGCAGCACTATTTACAATAGCCAGGTCATGGAAGCAACCTAAATGCCCATTGACTGACGAATGGATAGAGAAGAAGTGGCACATATGTACAATGGAATATTACTCAGCCATAAAAAGGAACAAAATTGGTTCATGTGTAGTGAGGTGGATGGACCTAGAGTCTGTCATACGGAGTGAAGTAAGTCAGAAAGAGAAAAACAAATATTGTATAATAACGCATATATGTGGAATCTAGAAAAATGCTACAGATGAACCGGTTTGCAAGGCAGAAATAGGGATACAGATGTAGAGAACAAACGTATGGAGACCAAGGTGGGAAAACGGGGCTGGGGGTGGGTGGTGGTGGTGGGATGAATTGAGAGATTGGGATTGACATGTATACACTGACAGGTATAAAATAGATAACTAATAAGAACCTGCTGTATGAAAAAAAAAAAAAAGGACTGTCTTTGGTCCTTGCTCTCTCCAGAAACAGCAGGGGCAGTGGGCGGGGCATAGACCTATGGGCGTGGTCAGAGCGGGCTCCTACCTGGGGAGCATGCGCCACGCCTGCTAGGTCCCTGCCTCGGCTATTTCCAGTTCCCTCCTCTCACCCTTGCAATGCGGGACACTTCGAAGGAGGGGTAGTAGAAAACCAGGTATGACTGAAAACCCGGAGCACAGTGTTCGGCAGAGAGGATAGGGGTGCAGACTGGGGTGCAGTAAGTGTGCCTAGGGCAGCTTGGACAACCTCCTGCAAAACCCACTGGAGCTCGAGAAGGGGGTGGGGCAGGCGGTAGGTGCCATCTGTGAAATGGGGAGGGTTACCACTGGTGGGGGAACCCAAGGAGAGCGTGAGTAAAGCACTAGACCACTGTTAGTTTCCCCAGGGTGCAGTTTTAGTTTTACCTGTCTCCAGGTGCTGCATCCTTTTAGTAAATAAGTCTGCCCACCCCTACCTAAGTCCCGAATGTCTGTCCCTGCAGATGTTTAGTTGTGCTCAGAGCCCGCCAGAAACAGGGTCGCTGGAGAGCTTGAACTGAGGGCAGGCTGAGCCCAGGGTCTGCAGAACCATCTTCGAAGTTTTTGACTCAGTGCGGGACACGTAGCCTGAAGTTTGAAATGCATCTTGAGCTTTTCCTGTGAAAATACAACTTAATTTCACTGTTGGTGCATTTTGAGGATTGTGAGGAAGGGCATATGACACACCCAACTTCTTTCCGGAACAGTTCTGGGTAGTTGTTCAAGTCTAAATTTAATCCAAGGCCTACATTTCCATGGGTGAGTGTGCTACTGGTTGTAGGAAGCCGTCTGTGGACAAATGAGGATAATAGAGAATTAGCAAGTCTGGAGAGGAGAGCCCATCAGCAGAATGACAAATTTAGGATCTTTAAAGACATCTGGTCAGCGATGCCGGAGCTCGTGATTGACTGAGTGATTAATAATGGAAAACCCTTAGTTCAGTGTTTCCGCCTTCCCTCGCCCACTTCCCCAGCCGGGACCGGCTGTCTGCTCCAGCCTGCCAGAGATGTTTCCAGCTGAACAGTGGAGGCATTTAGGCCCCTCATCTTTGACCTCTGGGAGTTTAAGGTTTGAGTTTTAATTCAGTTTCATCTGTGTGCTCCCTAACTGACAGCTCACCGAAAAGACTCCCAATTCCCTTTCATATCTGATACACTTCCATTCATGTTACAGAGTCCGTCCAAGGGCCTCACTTCAGGGTCACCCTGACTCCCAGCTCGTAGTTCATTGTCAGGACCTTCCCTCCAACACACAGAACACTGGAAAACAGGGAGAGGGCTGAAGTCTTTGCTCCCCTGCTCTCTGAGGCCTACTGCCCCCAGTTTTCAGAACCCATCCCTAATTCTATGGTGGATTTTTCCCCAGGCTAAAGCAACTAGACAAGCACAGCCAGGCCACAGCCCAGCAGCTGGTGCAGCTCCTCAGCAAGCAGAACCAGCTTCTGCTGGAGAGACAGCCTGTCTGAACAGGTGGGACGTCTGAGATCCCAGGTACTGTGCAGGGCGCCTCACCCACCAGAGAACGCACCGGGGTACACGTGGTCTTTCCCTTGTTCCTTTTTCAGAGCTGCATCTTACCAGGCTAAAGTCCTCGGGGGTCACATTGGTTAGCGAATAAGCTGGGAGGGAGATCTTGAAGACTGTGCTGGGCACAGTGGAGGACACAGGAGCGCGGGCCCTGGACCTGCCCTCTTTAGCGAGCTAAAGTTCGTACGGGAGAACAGACCCACAGTGAAGCACCAAGCCACAACGAGTGCTGAGCCGCACCATGTGGGCACCACCGCTGAGGAGTGCAGGAGGCGGGAGAGCGGGGCGGGCTGCAGTGGTCAGGAGGCTTTCTGGAGGAGGTCAGCTTTGAACTGCCCCTGGGGGACGTGTCTGTTTGAATTGGTGGAGGAAAGAGGTGCTCCCAATTAGGGGAGTCCCTGTGAATGGAATGTAGGAGTCTTGCTTTAAATCAGCTGGCTGATAATTGGGCTAGGGTTTGGAGTGCTTGCGGAGGGTGTGGCAGTGTTCCACAGATAACATGCATTAACTCTCATTACTCTTGAACAAGCCTGCAAGATTGATTATCCCCATTTTACAGATGGGGAAGCTGAGGCTCATACAAGAGCATACAACTAGCAAGTAGGGACACTGAAAATGGAGCCTAAGTCTGACTCCTTAACAGACTTTCCCTGTTCAGGTTAGGTCTGGGGCCACCAGCAGGGATAATGGGGGAAAG